ATGTCTTCGGCTAGGCCCTAGTCGCAATTCATTTTCGTATCTATTATTTCGCCCTTTAGTGAACCCGGATGCGATCTTTACTTTGCCCCTTCTCAGTTTCAGTCCCGTATTTTTCTTGTTGTCTTCAATTGAAAATGATGGGGAAATAGAATTTTTCTTAGTGGACTACTAATATATTGAAGTAATTTCAGCTAGGTCTTTTTCTCACCGTGCTTATTTGCATTATTTGCCTCTACTGCATGCGACAAGTCGTATTCGCAGCACATTTTGTTTGTAACAGGTAAGCTTCACATTTTCCAGTATTCACCGCCAGGCCTAGAAATTTTTGACATAATTTTTTTTCAGAAATGGGCGCGATTTAATTGATTACGCCAACATTTTACGTGGTGCGGTAGAGATGGGTCCAAACTGGATTCGACACAAAGGATATTTCTTCAAGTACGTTTACGTTGAGTTTTTTCTCTATATTGCTTCCAAAATGAAAATACATTTTCTTTTTTTATAGACAACTTCTCAACGTAAATATGTTCGTTTCTCAATTGGGCTTTTGCTGTGTTTATTTCGTATTCATGGCCGATAATTTGGAAGATGTGAGATATATTGTGATTGCATCTCTATTTGGGTTATTCTACCAAAGGTTTTTACAGTTTTTCAACAGTAACACTGATATCAAGCTTTCAAAAGCAACGTGGATGCTACTACTTTTGATCCCAATGTTATCGCTTTGTTCAATACGGAGGTCTGTTTTATTTCAAAAATTACGAACAAGTATTTGGTGCTCAACTGCGCCGTTTTGAAGTTGGTTTTTCTTCGACTCCCTTTTTCATTAGGTTCAATTTTGAGTGAAGTTTTCAGGCTGTCTATGTTGGCTCCACTTGCAATGGCTGCTAACTTCGTTTATATAGTTGCCGTGGGAATTGTTTTATTTTTCTTTGTTTCGAGTGCGTCTTTGTTTCCAGAATAGATTTTTCTTTATAATGCTCCTTTTTTTATTTCGACTATTATAGATCTCAAACCGGTGGGTTCACTGCCTTGGTTTGGAAAAGTAGCTGACCTACCTCTTTTCTTTGGCACAGTAATGTTTGCATTTGAAGGAGTCGCAGTGGTAAATGTCTTTTCTGTTAAGCTTCTTTATGGCTGATGATTTCGTAACATTGATTAATGCAGATTATGCCCATAGAAAATCGTATGCGGAATCCGCATTCATTCATTGCATGGAATGGTGTCCTGAATTCAAGCTGTCTCGTCGTATTAGCTATTTTCTCAGTCACAGGATTCTATGGGTAAATTCTTATGACTCAGTGATTTCATGAAATATTCATACTGTGAGAAGTCGGCCCTAATTTATACGGAAAGTCGCATCGCCATTTTATAAAGTGAGCTGAATGATTTCGAAAGTTTTACATTCTTTATGACGTCCAAGCAGTTCCGTGGGAACTGCTAGCCTTTCATGAAATTTCAAGGCTTTGTCCTAGGAAGGATTGTGAGAAGTATTGTAAGGACAGCAGTTGCCACCATATTGACTTTCTCTTATCTGAGGACGTGCCAAGGATTTAAGCCCCTTTTTGCAGATTTCAGCCCCCTTTTTAGCCCATTTTTTGTACTAAAATCTTAGTGTCACTTATCTGTCCCACTCGCTGTTTCGCTGTGGCCACTTTTTTTTATCTTTATTTAACTGGTATACGTGAAACAAAAATATCCCTTCTGATTTTCCTTATGCATTCATAATGTTTATATTTGTTAAGATATCTCTCGTTAGGAGACGATGTGAAGGACACCGCTACGCTGAATCTCCCTATGACACCGTCAGTATCATTTTTGATGTTTTCTCTTTTTTTGTCATTTACAGTGTTCAAATTGAGGGAGTTTTAGGTTTTATCAGACCATCAAATTGATGTTCGTCGCTTGTATTATGATTTCATACCCGCTGCAATTCTATGTTCCAATGGAGCGCGTTGAAAAATGGATCACCCGAAAGATTCCGGTCGCTAATCAAACTTTCTATATCTACACCGTCCGATACGCAGGAGTCTTACTTACTTGTTTGTTATTTATTTATTTCCTAGAAAATGGTTCATATACTTGCTCGTGGAACATTTTTGATGTTTTAGGTGCTGTTGCTGAACTTATTCCTCATCTAGCCCTGTTTATTTCGCTGATTGGAGCTTTTTCTGGTGCATCAATGGCTCTGTTGTTCCCTCCTGTGATTGAATTACTAGTGAGCTGTTCTTTTCCTATTTTGCCCCTCTTTTCTATTTTTTACTTTTCACTTTGCCTTTAAAAATTTCATTTTAGACGTGCTACGCAAAACAAGAGCTTTCGTCCAGGATTTGGGCAAAGAATATATTTCTTCTTTGCTTTGCGTTCCTAGGTTTTACAACGGGTACATATTCAGCTTTGTCAGAGATCTTCAAGAAGATCGCTAAAGAATAACTTATTTTCTTTATTTATTGAATTTGCACCCTTTATAGCTTGTAGTAATTAATGTAAGTCATATTGTACGTTGAATGTTTGAATTGATTCCCAGAATCAACTCGTCGATTTTTAACCCCACACGTATCACACTCATACTTATGATCTGTTGCTAGGAGCACTCATGTAATCATTCGACACTTCTCTATCTGTTGTAAATAATGTTTCGGAGCTTACCATGCAATAATTGTCCTCTGTGATCCTGTTGGAAGCGAATCCCAATAAGCATGCTTTTGCCTTCTGTGAATAACGGCTGTGGTTATTTATGGGTCTGCAAGTGTGTACGAATATGTTATAAAGTAATTTATTGAGAGACGTTCAAAATTAATATCACAGTGTTTTTTCGGTCACTGACCGCCTGCAAAGGTATATTGTGTTTAGGTGTGTTCGCTATTTTACCTATTGATAGTATATCTGGGTGAAAGTATGGTTTCAGTGGGGGCCATCCTTTGTCACTAACATTTGGCGTTGGAGCGCAAAGGAAGGGAAAACGGCTCTTCAGGCCCGTAATGGTGGTTGGAATGATGTTTCTTATGCAGGAGTATATTGTATAATAGTTGTTTTTTTAAAATTAACCTTGGGAGACGAGCTGCACCGGCGTGGGTGAGATGATCTGTGGACTCGAAACTGAGTCAACTGAAAGTTCAAATGTTCCTAAACCACAAATTTTGGTACGAGGTGATTGTCTCACCAACCCCGGTGCTCCTCACCTCCCAAGGCTTATGCAAGAAACCGTAGCTGGTTCCTATCTTTGTGGTCTCATTCAGGAGAAGGAAAGGGCTAAGCAATGTGACGATAAGATTTGTCCGAAAGCTCATTAATTCATTCCCATTTCGTCGTATCCTTATGCGCCAATTCGGTGTGTGTTCAGCCTGCGTTCAAGATAAGTCGTATCGAGGGGGAAGTAATCAGGAGGATGGTTTAGTGGAAGGCTGTAGGGATTAGGGAAAAGGGTAACTGAATTCAGTTAAAGTTTATGCCCACCTAAAAACTTAGTAACGCTAATTTTGGATAGGAGTGAACGAGGACACTTTCTGGAAAAGGGAAAGAGGTAGAATCGGTTCAATTATGGGGATGGACAGTGTGTAATCTCCAAAATGTTAGGAAGGTGACACTGGAAACTAGGAACTCAGGGAAGAATCGTTGGGTACTAGTCTTTGTTGGGGAAATACTGTCTAGCCAAGGTGGAAAACAGGGTGGACGGTGTGATGAGTTATCCTTATCGAACGTGGTTTCAGGCAATTTTCAGAAGGACATTGCTGTTTAATGGGTGAGTTTGTCAGTAAACAACTAATGTCTGCGTGATGTCTGGTATGGTTTGTGTGCAACTTGTATTCTGTTTTTTGTGTTGTTGTTGAAGTTATAATGCCTATTTGCGGAACAAATAAAAATCTGCAATAACAAATACAATTGTCTACTCTGAGTTTTCACCTCCTTACCTCTCGTACGTGTTTTCTTTGGTTGATTCCTAGGCTCACCATTGGAGTAACGAAGGGGCGCACTGGAAACCGTCCTATTATAGGCTGTGTGCCACTTGCGAGATAGATGATGGTTCTTTATATTGATCGGTCAATGCCGAATGGATGTGATAGTCAGTGCTTTCGGATTCAAGCAACATGGTTAAATGTTTGGGGAACCACTGGTCGTGGTCAACAACCAATTCATCCGAAATCTCAAATCACAGCCGTAGGAGAAGCTTTTATCGAAACAGGTTGGAACTGCAGTCGTGCGTTGATCAGTGGTGATCACAATCGCAAATCAGCCCATAAGGCCGCCCAATCACCCAATACGACCGCCCATCACCATTGATTCCGCCACGCGGGTGGGGGGTTGCTGCCCGTTTCATTTCTTACTCCTCTTCTTACCCTTCTTAGTTTACTCCTTTCCATCTACTACTATTTTGTGTTCACTTCCTATTCTCACGTATTATTAATCAGACCTTTGTTACGAAGTTTTTAAAGACCTTCTTGAAATTCATGTTGTATTTTTCAGGGGAATCGGCGGCGCCGACCACTGCCTTCCACGAGATTCCACGAGCGCCGACGTGTGCACCCTGACAACTGCAGGTCAGAAACTTCCCTTCCACTCTTGTTTTCACAAAACAGTACAGTCGTGGAGTAATTATTTGATTACAGGTGTGCACTTCTAGTGGATCGATAGCAAGGGCACGCCCCCTGGGTGCGACTTGACAACGATCCATCAGGTAACCGGGGAGGGCCACAGGTACAAGGTTTCCTGCTGCTTCTTTCTATATTGTCTCAATTCGGTCCATTTCAGATCCACAGGGGCGATCGTGGCCCAAGTCGTTTGGAGAGGTGCTTCACAAGGACCGATGAATCGGACTTCAGGTTTTTTAAATTGTCCTGTCTGTCTGTGTGTGTGTGTCGTCCATGTCCTGCATGCTACGTCCGTGTGCGTGTCTGTCCGCGTCTGTCCGCGTCTTTTTCTTTGTATGTTGTCCTGTCTGTCCATGTCTGTGTCGTCCTCGCTGTTGCATGCTATGTCCGCGTGCGTGTCTGTCCGCGTCTGTCCGAGTCTATACCCCTTGTCTATGCCTGTCCTTTCCCTTGTGAGCCTGTCCGTCCGTGTCCTTGTCTTTCCGTATCTGTCTGTGTGTGCCCACCCCTGCAGTGCTGTTCGTCCATGTCCGTCCCTATCTGTCTGTCCGTCATCTGTCTACTTGTGTCCATCTGCCTGTATATGTCGGTGTTTGTCTGTCTTTC